AAAACATCCACGAAACAAAGAAAGGTCTGTCACAGCCAAAAAATACACTCCAGACACGCCGCTGGCACTAGAGGCACAGCATGGCCGCCTAGTAATATATACATATTTTGCGGGGTGCCGACCGACCCCCAACCGGTAGGTCCCAACCAGTCCGGTGGTTGGCTGGTCAGCCCCCGACCAATCCAGGGGCGCCGACTGTCGGCGACCGTCGGTGTGAGTACTCTGGTTGCAAGTATGATTCTCGGTCATGTGCCCGATCTTCCAACCAGATCAGCAGGCTGGTGAAGTAGGTAGAAGCAGGGTGGTAGAAGCAGGGTGGTCCTTGTTCCCAGCTTTCGCATCTTATTGCCCGGATCTGTAATGTAGGTCACTCATGGGCCCGATCCTTCTGCTGGGACAAGTACTGTCTCATCAGAATGGGATCGTTCTACCCTTACATCGTTAGAAATGCTTCTAACGAGCTGTACCAGTTCCTACCCCCCGGGTCCTTGTGTGAGTTTTCTGTCCCACTCACAGCTCTCCGCGTGGTGGTCCACCATGCCATGACCACTCACCACAGTACCCAGTCCCACAGCTACCATCATCACCCAAATAAACGCCCGGTCATAATCGCTGAATCTGGTCTAAAAGTTGCCCCAAATACAGCTCCGACAACCGGGTGTTCTACTCGGGTGACGACGGCAGCTCCCGCGATCGGGCACACTTCCAAACCAGGCCGAAGGGGAGTGCGCTGCACAGCAGCACCACGTGAGATCTGTGCCCCAAGGAGCATAACACAAATGCAATCAACGGGTGTAGCTCAGCTGGTGCACCCGTGAACTGTTAAAACACAGACCTGACTTTGAATCCATATAGAACTAGATGAATGACATCAACCAATTCTGAAATACCTGGGGCCGGCCACTTCGACAACGATATCTCAAGGCCGTCACCATTCGGCGGGAAAAAAAAAAAAAAGCACAACACAAATGCTGTGAAGACATGAAGTCTTGTGCCCCTTGAACCATAGCCCTTTAATTTTGCAAGTGTGCTGACTGGTTTGGGGGCTGCAGTCGCTCTCTAGCGCCACCATAGAGAAATCAATTTGAGAGGAAGAAAGACATCGCGAGCATTATGCTCTTTTCGACGTGCTGACGAAACTGTTCATTGCGATTGCCACCAGAAAAAAAAAATCCACTGCAGATAATTCAGAGGCAGAGAACGAAAGAAACTTTAGGAAAGGACTAAGAATGGGACGCCGGACCCCTTTTCCAGCAATTTGTGGTTTGGGCCCAACCTTGCAGATAATTCAATCGATAAAGACTTGTCTTAAACCGCCAGTACACGGCCCCAGCCTTGCAGAAATTTGTTCATCGCGTACTCCGAAATTTTTTCGGTTCGGGCCTACCAGACCACAATGGCCGGCAGCACCGGCCAAAAAACTTGAAAAAAGAAAACAAAGTGTGTGACATTCGTGGTTCGGAAAAACTTGACGCGCAGTGCAGCATGTCCAGGCCCGCCCCGGGTGAACTGGCAGTTTAAACTTTAAACTTTAAACCGCCAGTACCTGCGAGCCTGCCTTTGTTTGTCGAGGTGCATTCCCCCCCTGCCCACCGAGCTTTGTCGAAACGCCAGCGCGGCGTTTTTTTTTTTTTTTTAACTCTTTTGGCTGGCGCTGCCAACCATTTTGGGCCGGAAAGGCCCCGCGTCCAGAAATTTTCGGATTGGCTAGAATTTCAATTCTCCAGTTTGCCTGGGCGATGTACTGGTCGGCACTACACACGCTCAAAATCTTCGGATATTTTCGGATTGGCAAATCGAGCAAGTGTAAAATTGTAAATTGTATATTTCCGAAAGTTTTGTGGATTTGGAACTACCGTTGGCGCAGCCAGCCAAAAAAAGAACAAAAAAGTGTGGCTAGTGAAAACACACTGCTATGCTTTTGTTTTGGGGGGCAAGCAGCGCTTGGGAGGAGGCTAGTGAAAACAGCCTCTGACGTAGTCGTGTCTTGAAAAAGAGAATAACAAAATTACGAGAATCAGGGGAGAATGAAAAAGAATCAGGATAAAAGACTTGAGCATTATGCTCTTATGAAAGAGAAGAAACACTCGTTTAAGTGCAATGCTCACCCTGTGAGTGATGTGTTGAAGACCACCTCACCAACTTGTGTTCCCTTTGCACCAAATGCCGTTCCTTTCCATATCGACCCATCCTCGAGCACCAACCGTGCATCGGACATCTTCCATGGTTTCTCCACAACTGAAATGAAAAACAGAAACATATTATTAGTTTCTCTCTCTCTCTCTCTCTCTCTCTCTCTCTCTCTCTCTCTCTCTCTCTCTCTCTCTCTC